GAAGGCCACCCATCTTAAAGTTGCTGAGGTTGAGAAACACTGCTTATATTCATCAATTCCACTCTAAAACCTATCACTTTTGTGCGGAAATGGTGAAAGGTACCAGTCTGGTCAGGGAAAAAAAGGACAAGGACTTTTCTAAAAGACTGGAAACCTGATATGGATTTTTGTTGAAAGGAGAAAAGACGGAATTCATGATTTCTGGATTTGGGGATTGAAAAGGGTCAAAGAGGATGGGGAAAAGAATAAGATGATAACGACTCAATAGAAGGGCAGAACGCCTAACTATGTGTTTCTTTTTTCCATTTCTCTCTATTTCTTTCTTTTTAAATTCATTTTTATTGAAGAGATTTTTTACAGAGTAAACACAGTGCGAATTTTAAAAAAAGAAAAGTGATCAGTAAATAAGTAAGGAAGAAAAGAGGAAAGAAAAGAAAAAAGAAATATAAAGAAGCAGCTTCTGACCCGTAAATCACAAGTTCATTTTTTCCCCCCATTTTCAGCAAAAAGTCCATAAAGGATCTTTTTCTCGCTATCTTCTTTTTGTTTCGTATACTTTTCCTGGGTTGAAAAATTCTAATTAAAAAAAAAAATGCTGTCATTTTTAGGAGTTTCCCCCTGCTTAACCTCCATCGCTTCCCATCCCTTAAATCCGTTATTTCACGGCCTTGTAATCTTTTCTGTTTTTCCTCCCCCAGGTCTGCGATGGCAAAAGGAGTGCAGAACTACGTTAAATCCTTGAACTGGGGGCATAGGTTACAGCTGCAAGATAAGTCAGTGCCTCTTTCTTTCTTGTGCCTCCAAATACTTGAGTTTAATTTTTTAAAAGTCAGTGTAAAGCGGGAGTAAAGGGTTCAGGGGAACATTGTCTTCTCATCTACTGTGCAATTTTGTAGTGCTTCCTTTCCATTGTCTCTTGCTTAAGGATCCCTGGCTTCTGAAGGCGGCTTTGCACACCCAGTTCCCATTGTTTATTATTATGTTTCTCCTTCTCCTTCTCCTCCTCCTCCTCTTCCTCACACCCAGTTCCCATTGTTTATTTCTTCTTCTTCTTCCCCCCCTCCTCCTCCTCACACCCAGTTCCCATTCGTTATTATTATGTTTCTCCTTCTCCTTCTCCTTCTCCTTCTCCTTCTCCTTCTCCTTCTCCTTCTCCTTCCTCCTCCTCCTCACACCCAGTTCCCATTCTTTATTATGTATCTTATTCCTCCTCCTCCTCCTCCTCTTCTTCCTTCTTTCTTCTTTCTTCTTTCTTCCTTCTTCCTTCTTTTTTTTCTTCCCCTCCTCCTCCTCCTTTTTTCCTAATAATGATAATAATAGTAATAATAATTTATAAGCCACCCAGAGTGGCTGGGAGTTGGGTAGCATATAAATGTAATCAGTTATTATTTTTATTGGGAAATTCTTGGGACTTTTTCAACCACAGAGGCTTTTAAGCAGACATTTTTCTTTCATCCTTTACAGGGGCTTAAATCCAATCCATCCGGAGTCGTACCAGGTTGTTTTAAAGCAGGAGTGTGTAACTTTGGGGGGTTTGATTGTCACACTTTTCTTTGTCTAGTGCACCACAGATCATATTCCCCAAAAGACTGTAGGAAAGCCGGGAGGAAATGAAAACAAAGTTTGATTTGACTTCATTGCCCTTCTGTCTCTTACAGAAGAGTCAAATACTTCAACCTAAAAGGCAGTTTTGTGGATGCACACACCATCCGTGGGGTAGGAAAAGGAGGCAAGGAGGTAAGAGGGCTCTAAGGGAGAGTTTTAATATAGGGATAACCTTGTACTATATACACACACACACATATATATATGCACACATACATACACACATACATACCATTTTTATTAAGAGTTTTAATTATAATAGTAAAATCTAATGCAAACTAAACTTAAAGAAAAGAGAATAGAAAGGAGTTAAAAGTGCAAGAAGAAAGAGAAAAAAGTAAGAATATAATAGAGAGAAAAGAAACATAAAGAAGTGACTTCCAGCCTTCATCACAACAAGTATAAACAAGGAGGAACAATTATCTGGAGCACATGTGGGCAATCTCTTGTCCTCTCCTTAGCTGGAGAGGTTCCAAGGGATCGGGACTGGTCTACTCACCAGTTCCTTGGTCTTTGCCGTGGTCATCGGCTCTGCTTTCACAGAGACGTCTTCAGTTCACCATACCTCCCCCGGAAGCTGGAGATCCCCTTGTGCTGACCTGTCCATCCGAATTGAGGGTCTAAGCCAGGGACAAATGATTTCTCCCCCCCAAAGGGTTCTTTCCCTCTGGGGCCAACCTTCGGGGTCTTTGTGCAGCCATCTGTGATGCTAAACCCACCTTCCGTGTTTTGACAGACACGCATCCCGTTCAGCCATTCCACGTCCACGGCCTCACCCATGTGCACTTTCTTGTTCTCATTCTCCCTTTCTCAGGGTCTGCCGATCCCACGAAGCTGCTAAGGGTGTTCCTTCGGGGTTTTGACTTGGCATGTTGTTTGAACGTGGCCAGGGACAACCGTGAGGGGGTTGTTAAAAAGTTAAGATGGTGTTAAAACATGAAGTGCTGCCAGATGCCCACATAAAGGGCGGGCTTCATTCACGTAGATGCGAATGCCATCTTGCATTTTTTGACAGCCTCCCCCTCAGTTGCCATTGAGCCAGGTTGTTGGGGTTTGTCAACCGTGGTTTCTGGTTGGGCCCAGCCCTTGCAGTGTGTCTGGCAAACCAGGAATAAGAACCCCTCTTAGTCCATTGCGTCAGCCAGACTGCTGGCCTATAACTGCAGTGATATTGTACTTTTGGAGATAACCATGTTCTCCCAGTGTGAGATTAAAACACAGGAGGGATTAGAGATGCTCAGTCTGAATTTCTCTTCCTGATTTTCTTTTCTCTTTTTATTCTTAGACTCTGCTCACGGCAGACCAGATAGTACTTGCCACTGGTGGGAGACCGAGATACCCCACTGAGGTAACCTGTCTTAATGTGGTCCTAGTTGGCATTAACCTCAGTTAACTTCAGTGCAGCTTTTCTGCTGAACTGTAGTTAAAGATTGATTTACAGGTAGTCCTCATTTAACAAGCACAATTGGGACTGGGAACTCAGTTGTTAAGCAAAGTGGTTGCTTAGTGAAACCGTGATGGCGCTTATGATCTTCCTTCTGCTGTCCTTTGCTTTACAGACCTGCGAAGGTGGTCAGTGCAAGGATTGGACATAAAGTTACTTTTTCATCACTTTCATAACTGTGAACAGTCACTAAATGAGGACTACCTGTAGTTCTTTACTAGGGCTTAGATGCTTCATCCAAAGGTACTTCAGAGTGGTCTTCACAGCCCACCTTCCCTTAAGCCAGTGGTTCTCAGCCAGCATGCTGTGGCACATAAGCGTGCCATGGGCTTGCCTCTAGCGTGCCACGAGATTTTTGTCTTATATTACAATTTTTTCAATTTGTTTTTGTATTACGTATATTCTGTATAATCTGTATATTCAATACAGGGCAGATATTTTTAAAAAATGCATATTCCCCTCAAACCACGTCTTACACGTTTAAAAATACGTATATACGATTAATCATTTTCTGGCGTGCCACAGAAGTACTTCTATATTCAGTATTGTGCCATGGACCCAAAAAGGTTGAGAAACACTGCTTTAAGCAATCAGAGAAGGGAGATGCAGATGTTACATTATATCATGCCTCTGTATATGGGGTTTTACAAAACTTCCACACCCCACTCTTAGAGTCATGAAAAACCCCATACATGGGGGGCATCTCTCTTCTTTGAGACCTTAAGAGAAAGTGGACAATGTAGAGCAGTGTTTCTCAGCCTTGGCAACTTGAGGATGGGTGGACTTCCACTCCCAGAATTCCCCAGCCAGCATTCATGGACCAACTCCCAGAATTCCCCAGCCACGCAGTCGTGGCAGAGATTTTTAAAAAAGAACCAAACCAAAAAACCCCCAAACAACTTCAGTGCGTAGAGAAAGATAGAGTCCAGTTTAATTCTCCAGCCTTTACGTGTCCATCTTTTCCATGGATAATGCCGGGAATCCTTTCTTCTCTTCCTCCTCCTTTTCAGGTTCCAGGAGCGCAAGAGTTTGGGATTACAAGCGATGACATTTTCTGGCTAAAAAAATCCCCTGGAAAAACGTAACTATCTAGGACTATTTTTAATCTTTTGGGGAGGGAGAGAATTTTCTGTGGTTTGCATTTTTTATTCCGGTTCCTCCTGGCTAACCCATCTAATACTTGGGTTCTAAACTGAGTTATCCTTTGGGGCGGGCGTTTCTCCAAAGCCCGCAATGCAGTATCCCGCCCAGAAACTGTGTGCAGGAATATTTGTGTCAAAGAAAGTTTTCTACAACAATGGGGACATTAAAGCAAAAGGGCACGACTGAATAAATACCAATTAATACAGGCTGATCCTTTTAAGCTTAATTTTCAGCGTGTCTGTGCCTTTTCTCCCTCTGAATATAAACTTTCTCCCTTTGGCCTTGTAACTTTGCCATTACCTTTATTCTTTTCAATAAAGCCAGCTACTGAGGTTCCAATTCTGAATATGTAAGATTGCGATTTACAGATTGTACAGGCGTACACATCTGAAAATAGCGGTCTATGTACATTTAGATTGAAGACACGACGGCAATTCCAAATACAGTGTCCAATTTCCTGGCTGGGTTGGGTCTGCCCTACTTGTGTGAACCACGAGAGGGCAGCAAGGATTTATATTACGGGATGATCTTCCTTCCATCGCTGCTTTCCCTGTGCTATTATGGGGGAAAATACCATTTTTGTTAATATAGCCAGGGTGGGTGAAAATGTGGAAATCAGGAATGTGGTTTCTAGTAACCTTAGTCGGTGGGACGCCGCAGTCGAAAGAGAAGAATCAGAAGCGATGGAAAATGGATTATACAATTCATTGTATAAATCACATTACCAACAGAAGAGGATATATGTAGCTCAGGGTTGAACTGTGGAGTCCTTGGGGTTCTCTGAGCTTGGTTGATAACACTGGTTGGTAACACTGAAGATGTTACCTAGCTGGGTAACAAAACGTTTGCAAGAAAACAGCCAAGCTCAGAGAACCCCAAGGATGCCATAAACTACATTAAATGTTCCAGTTGGTTACCCCTTCCCTTACTCGTTTGATGCATGACCTTTGAACGTACTGTATGTAAAAGATCATTCCATAATATAAATCCTTGCTACCCTCTCGTGAATGAATTCATTCATTCATTCATTCATTCATTCATTCATTCATTCATTCATTCATTCATTCATTCA